TAATTTTTTATCTTTAATGTGTTTTAGCTTCTTTAGTAATAATTGCAACAATTATTCAAGTCTGTTATAATTAAAACGCTGTAAACTCAAAATTAGTAAAAAATGCGCGCGATCAATTCGATCAATAAATTATGATGCTACATATATATGCTGTCATTACCCACTGAACCGCGCCTATCCCTGCAAAGTATGTCGCGCAACCCGTCGTACTGCCCAATATGTATATGCAACACCCTGTATACTGTTACGCAACATATCACACACGGAAATTGTAATAACATGTTTTTTTCTGTACACACGCTAATTTTTGTTATGCATAATAAAATAAATTGTTTTGTTTGCTGATCGGAGCTTCGTGAATCAGAGAACTTATTTTTGTTTTAATTCGCAATTCATAATGTTGAGATAATTTCTTGTCTGTAAACACTTTAAATATTGAATCGCGGATACGCGCGTCACAGCCGAACGTTTCGAATATTATTTTAAGAGTAATCACGCAAGTAAATATATGAATTATAAATAACGCGTGCGTTCGGCATGTTTTTCATATAGAGCGGTTAATTAACGAGCGCGATTAATGTAGTACACGCGATAAATTCATGGAAATGTAATTTTCACGAAGTTGGGATATAGCCGATCAAACTACGACATATCAAAACTTTCTCGGGCGGAAAATCAACGGCGCGGTCGTAGATTCGTTAGAGGGGCAATTTATTAAGAGATACGCGAGTGCGCCGTGCCATCGATTACTATTTCAAGTAACGTCCCTTTTTCACAGTTTCGACAGCAACTCCGCGAGTGCTTAAAGCTCTCTCTATATCTCTCTTTCTTTCTCTCACATATCGTTCTTATAGAAGAAGCGGTCTTCACTTAAGGGAACAAAAAAAAGAATAAGCTAAAAGAATACAGATACGAGAGAGTGCGGATTCGAGACCATGACTGCGAAATTACCAGGTCCACAAAATTAATCGCCCATGGAATTAAAGGTCCTACCGAGACGGGATTATCCGTAATTGCCCATCGTCCTTGGGCAATATGCAAATACTCGCGATTGCTACTCTCTCTCTTTCTCAACTTCTCGTGCAAGCGCTAATTAAGCGCGTATCTTACAGTTCATCTTCGACTATGATTATAAGATAATGGAATTAACGGGAAAATTCGATTTTTTTTCGTGTCTGTATACGTCTGTATAATAATACGAGCCATACAAATTGTCCGTAATAACTCTGTTAATAATTATAAGGTAACAATAAAAATACACATATTGCAACAGATATTGTACGTCAATATTCTTTTCACATGTTTAATTCTGTTCTGTCTAATAAAAACATTTTGCTTATACAAAATATTAAGATAAATTAAAAATATATTCAGACTCAATTATTTCTAATATCATTTGAACGTCATGCAAGTATATTATGTAATGCGTCCATAAATTCAATAAATAATTAATTATTTGCACTCAATAATGTAAAAATAATTTACTTTAATGTGATACATATTTGAATCTAATATACAAAAGAATAAAAGAACCTTATTTTAAGCAATAAATTTTAATAATTTTTCACAAAATGATATAATCCACAAGTATTAATACTCATAATCAGTATTATTATAAAAAAAAGAATCTCTTTATTAATTTTGGATAGTGCTCCTTCTAATGATTGGTTGCATTGGCTTTAGCTGTTACGGCGCGCTATACACAGTAAGCATTGATCACAAAAATCAATTCATTATCAAATGCTTAACTAATTCCGAGTACTGATTTAACCCATTATATTCCCTCTTCATAAGCATATGAATTAATAACTATTAATTTTTTTTTCATTTTGCTTTTATTAACAGTAATCGATAAAATTTGTTTCTAATATCGTTTATTCTACGCAATTAACATAAATTTGCAAACTAAAAATAAAGTTACTGCATAAAAAAAAAATGTAACAATTATGATTCAACGAAACCTAGATACTAAATAAATTTTAAACAATTTTAAACTGATTTACGAGCGTTTGGCAATTTTATTATCACTTGCAACCTTGTCCGCACACATCAAAAAGCTCTCGACAATTATTCTTTGATTCAATAGTTTTCCGGCAAACATAAATGCTGCCGGCAGTAATAATTCTGACCATCTTTCTTGTGACACCATGTTCCATCTAGAAAGTATCAGTTGACATCTACGTTGAACACATTTCAAAGTGAAATAAGTAGTAAGAATAATATTCATTAGCGCTACTTCTAATGTTCAGCTGCTTAGACTTTTGTTGTTACGGTATGCATGATAAAGAATAAAAATAGGCATCAATCACAAAAGTTGACTCATTGTCAAATGCCCCCAACTATTTCTCCAACTACCGATAGAACCTATTATATTCTCTTTGCATAATTAAAAACTATTAATTTTTTTTCTTCCTGCTCTTGTTAACTGTAATAAATGATGAAATTTGTTTTTGACATCGTAAATTCCACGTAATATTTTATAAATTCGAATTTTATATAATCAACAAACGATTTACTACACAAAATAAAAATAACAACTGTGATTTAACGGACATTAGATTAGACACTAAATAAATTACAAACAATTTTGAACTAATTTCCGAGCATTTTGCGGTTTTATTTACTCTTGCAGTGTTATTGACATATGTTTAGTACATCTTGACTACAATCATTTTCGTCGTATGAGTAGTTTTCCGGCAGACAGTAATGCTTGCGACAGTAATAATCCTGGCCATTTTCTCTGTGACATAACGTTCCATCTGGAAAGTATGGATTGAAACCTCTGTCGAGCATTTCCAGGTGTGAATTATAAATAATTGGATTTTTTTGTTGGCAGATTATAATACAGGCCATCCACGGTTTTTCGACATCATAAACGGCTTGACTTCCCGGTCCTCTTTTCACGTTAGTTAAAACACCTTTTACACGCTCTGTATAACCAACAAAATCATTGCATCTCTGCCTAGTAAACTCTATGATTGTTATGCGTAATTTAGGGCAAAACATCTTGTCATCGCACAGGGCCACGTCGTAATATGGCCCTCCACAACTTGCCGTTCTGTAAACTCCATGTTTGCAAGAACGTCGTTTGACAAATGCTCCTTTAGATTCCTCCAAGCAACTGCTTTGACAGTTGTCTTCTTTCCATTCACTCCAGTTATCTTCGTCACAATACTTGAAAATGTATGGCGGTTCGAGAACAGGCACGCATTCTCCTCCACGACATTCTTTTCCCAGTGCGCAATAAGTTCCTAAAAAAATAATTAATTAAAAAATCAAACTATTGTCTTAGATTTCTTCAGAGAAAAGATGTACCATCTAGTGCAGGTCCCGCGAAGAAATTCCCCTTATACTTGTAATAAAGTTCGCATTGTAAGATTTTACATATATCATGCAATGTGACTACGTTCGCATCAATGTCGCGCAAATATAATTCACATTGTGCTTTGGCGGTCCATTCTCTTCCGGGTACTTCGTGATAACGCGAATGGTCCAAGTCATTTGTGACATCAAGGTCTTCCGTTCTCGTGCGATCTCGAAGGCACGGTTTTGTGTTCCAGAGTTCTTTAGCTGTTTTACGACTACACTCGGACCATGTTCTCTGGTGTCTAAAGTTTTTCAAATTTGACATTATGTACTGGCCATCTGCACAATTTGGAGTAAAATAAGACTTATCCTCTGTTATTCCTAAACTGTTAAACAGAAAAAAATTATTGGTACTAACAATATGCTTTACTTTGCAACGATCTATTAAAAATATTTTTATATGCTTTATAATTTATGTTAGCAGAATTTTTATACTAAGACATTAAAAAATCAAATTTCTTATAAAGTTTCCTCTTTGTTTTTATTTTTATATTGTACAATAAAATAAATTTTTATAAAATAAGTAATACGACATAAAAGGATATTAAAGCATACAAGTTGTCCTTAATAATTCCGCCTATAATTGTAATGTGACAATTTAGTGCAATTAAATGTACAATTAAAATCTTTTCGATCATAAATTGAACAATTTTTAGTAGATTACAATAATTAAACGCACACAGTTTTAATAATAGTATTTTTATTTCTTTCAAGTATTTAATCCAAAAAAAGGAACTAGTTAATAAATATTCTTAATCACACTCATCCTTCCTCACATTCGCATCTTAGAGCACTTGAATTTTAACCTATACAAAATCTATTCTTGTTCCAAGCATTACTTAATTCTATACATCTTTTTATATTCTTCTTTATTTTGTACATTGCACAAAATTCTAATAAAAATGTTCAAAATATTTTTATAAGTCAAGTAATTGATAAAACACACACAATATTATTTCTGCCAGACATCTGAAATGATTATGCTACAAAAATAATAAGAATAATCAAGTAAATTATAACATCAAAATAATGTTGCATTAGAATCGCTAAGATATCCAAATTTGTCGGACAAGTCGTGTAAAAATAGAAGCAAGAATTATAAGGGTATTTGTTAAAAGGTAAGAGGGTAACTTTGAGTGACAATATCCCGAAAAATCAACTATGGTGTAAAAGAATTGAAAGAAGAATAGCGAATAGAACGGAACATGAGTTGAAGAAGATGAAAGAAGAATGAAAAAGACGGTAATAGAACACAGATTGAAAAGCTGTAATCTGACTACAGATCCGTGTGACTTTGTTTATTAAGAAAGAAGCGCACTTTGAGCATGCAAAAATGAGTATTTTTGGCAATTTTTTTCAAGAAATAAACATGAATAAAAACATTTTCTAGCATTATAAATAAAAAATATACATTCTGAACGTTACAAAATATTCTATAATATAAATAATTACTATTTATATCTAATATGTTTTCATAAAAAATTTGTGTTTCTTAAATGTTTATCGAACTCGTGTGCAACATATCTCAGTCAATGTTGGTCTAATTAACTTAAACATTTATTAAATATTTTAAATAGTGAGCTCTATTGTCGTACTTATGATTTTTGTTTTACAACTTTTTGTTTTTGAGACAAAGAAGAAATTTTTGTTCTTAATAAATTAGAAAATTTATTTTATTTGTACGCAATTTTTTTATTTTATTGAATAAAAATTTCATATGTACGACGATAGCTATTTCTATTTTAAGAATTCTTTTGATTTTCTTTATTGGACAAGTGGTATTAGTATACTTTTGCGTACATTTATGTTATGTTTGAAGAAATAGATTATGATATGTTTGAAAATATAGAGTTCTTAAAAAACGGCCATTACGGATAAATAGAAACTATTTTTTTTTAAACATTATTATTTTTTTTAAACTACTAATGATGTTTCTTTAATATCTTGAAGAGTGATGTCGGCAATGACTTGGTAAAGTGGAAAATTCTAAGAACTACCAAAAATTGTATGTTGTTAATTACTGATCTCTACAAAAATATTCTCGACTTTGTTCTTAGAATTTTGTGATTTATATTATTGTAATATATTGAAAATAGTCAAATAAATGACCAAAACATTTTTAATTTTATAATTTAATTATACAATGAGAATTGTCACATTATACATTATGATTAGCTCGGATAATTTGCGTGGCTCAATATTTCTTTATGTTATATTTATTAATTTTACTCATATAATTTAAATTATTGTAATTTTATCAATTATATCACTTACACTTAATTTTCAGAAAAAATTAGTATATATATACTTACATATTGCCAATCTGATAAGCAGCAGTAATAGCAGAAGATGCTAAAGCAGTTGGCATCGAAAATGAAGAACCGTATTCTACTATGGCGCAGGAAGGCTTCTCTTTTCTACAAACTGCATTGAAGTAAGATTCTCCCATATAATTATAGTCCTGTAATGTCACTTCACCAGAATCTGGTAAGACAAAAGTATCAATTCCGGTTATGAGAAGAACAATATCCCAATGACTCAAATTATTGTCGTCTGAAGGATTGAGAGTTTCCGCGTATTTGCAAAACGACGTGCGCATTTTCATAAGGTCGTCGTAAACAAACAATTCTGATGGACGTCTTTTCATAATTTTCAATTCTACCAACGAAATATCGATAGAAACACCCAAACTCGGTTGATGGAACACAGCTTGAATTTGATTCACGTATGCTAATATTATATTGTGCATCTGTTTCTCATTGTTGCTCGTAATATGCATGAAATTAAAATATGCTGTTGCGTCGACAAAAACGGCTAATTCTATGATTAGTTTTTGTTCAGTATTTCGTATGTGACGTCGCTTCGGCTTGAAATTGCCAAAAAGATTAAAATATGAAGCAGCAAAATTTTGCGGTAATTTTTTGATAAAGTGAAGTTTGCCGAATGAAAGATTCATTTGTTTCTCAACGCAAATGTTATCGACTATAAACAAGGACGCAAAATCGTTCCGCAAAGGTCTAATCTCCAAGTAGTCATTTTTTAGAAAAATAAGTCCTTCCTACATTGAAAAAAAAAATTTATTTGTTTTTTGCGCCTCATGCTTATATATAAAACAAAAAGCAATAAAGATTGAAAATAAAAATTTAAAAATTTCTAAGGAATTTGTTTTTTATATCATACTACCGACCAATCCATGTTCGTCACAAAAGTTGATGATCGCCGAACTGACATTATCCTTGTGAATATATAAACAAGGATCCAATGTTTTTAACTGCGATAATTTTTCTGAAACGCCTTTTACATAATATTGCCATATTTCATACTCAGGCGACGTAATTCGATCGTTTTTATATAGATTTAGTTGAATTAGTTGTCCGAACACTTTCAGAGTTAATGGTATCTGTAAATTTGATGACAATTAAAAAAAGATTTTAGGATTTTCGCAAAATGTTTTGGACGTTGAGCAATGAATAAAGCAGTACAGTAAAACGCACGTACCTTCTTTGCGCTTGTCGGGTACCATGCCGGCAGCAATATTGTTTCGGTATCTTGGATAATATACGCGTACGTTTTATTTAATAAAATTATTAACATCAATTTCAGTATAAAGAACATGTTACTTTATCAGTTTTTCAATTTTAGATTTTATATTAAATAATTTATATACACACGTTAGGATACTCTCACGTTCGTTGTGTCCTACACGATCGCGTATAACGCCCGTACTGGCATCTGTATTGAGAAATACACTTTGTGTTGCTTGACATGTATGTTATTTCTTTCTTACATAAATATGTATAAATATTTTTGTTTTTTAAACCTGAATTTAAAAGATAGCACTCACGATAATGATGTAGAAAATGCAATTTATTCGTAATATGTATAATGTGTATAACATGTTACTTGGGAATGCGCATGAGTTTAATTGATGACAATTTAATTGAAAAAATTGATAATCAATATTGATTTAAAAATATGTTGTTTATTGCATATCCGTTATATCTTGAAAATTACTTAAAAATTTGCAAGTGTGTCAATTCAAATCAAACAACATAAAAGAAAACAATAAAATAAAAATAAAATTATACATGTGACAACTATTGTAGATCAATATTTTTTTCATATGTATTTTGTTTAATAAAATGTTTTACTTTTATAAAATTTTATGATAAATTAACAGTACATTTAAACTTAATCATTCAAACGTCTTGCAGATATATCATGTTACATGCTATTAAATTCAATAAATGATTAATTATTTTAGCTCAATAATGTGAAAATGATTCATTAATGTGATTCGTATTTGAATAAAAATATATATAAGAATAAAAGAAACCTTATTTAGAGTAAATTTCAATAATTCTTTCTAAAATGATAAAATCCACAAATATGAATAATCAATATTCTTACAGGAGAAGAACCTACTCACTGGTGCTCCTTCAAATAATCGACTGCATTGACTATAGCTGTCACGGCTAGCGCAATACAGAGCCGGTATCGATAAAAAAATCAATTCATTATTAGAAGCTCAATTAAATTCAAGTACTGATTTAACTCATTATATTCCCTCTTCATAAGCATGTGAATAAATAACTATTAATTTTTTTCTTCTTGCTTTTATTAATAGTAATCAATAAAATTTGTTTTTGATATTGTTTATTCTTCGTAATTATCATAAATTTGTAAACTAAAAATGGATTTACTGCATAAAATAAAATATAATAATTATAATTTAATGAAATCTAAATAAGACACTTAATAAATTGCAAACAATTTTGAACTAATGTCCGAGCATTTTGCGGTTTTATCATCTCTTGCATCCTTATTGACACATGTTTACATCTTTACAATTTTCTTTGTATGAATAGTTTTCCGGCAGACAGTAATGCTGTCGGCAGTAGTAATTCTGGCCACCTTCGTTGTGGCACAACGTTCCATCTGGAAAATATGGGTCGTAACCGTAGTCAAGCATTTCCAGATATGAATTTTCGTTGAAATCAGATGATCTTTTTTGTTGACAAAATACAATACAGGCCATCCACGGTTTCTTGATATCATGAGGAACTTGTCTTCCTGTTCCATTTTTTATGTTAATCGTAGTCACATGCGCTGCATCACCGCTGAAATGATTGCATTTCTTCCTAGTATACTCGGCAATTGTTATGCGATTTTTAATGCAAACTAGCACGTCAATGCACAAGTCCACGTCGTAATATGGCCCTCCACAATTGGCCGTTCTGTTAGTCCCATGTTTGCAAGAACGTCGTTTGATCATTGCGCCTTTAGATTTCTCCAAGCAACTGCTTTGACAGCTGCCTTTTTTCCATTCACTCCAGTTATCTTCTTCACAATACTTGAAAATGTATGGCGGTTCGAGAACAGGCACGCATTCTCCTCCACGACATTCTTTTCCCATCGCGCAATAAGTTCCTGAAAAAAATAAATTAAATAAATAAATTAAAAAATCAAAATATTTTTTTAAATTTTTTTAGAAAAAAAATGTACCGTCTAGTGCGGGTCCCGCGAAGATATACTCATTGTCACGGTCATGCATTTCGCATTGTAAAATTTGACATATATTATGTAACGTGACTACGTTTGCATCTTTGTCATGCGAAAATAATTCGCATTGTGTTTTGGCGGTCCATTCTCTCCCGGGTAAATTGTGATAACGCGAATGATCCAATTCATTTGCGTCATCAAGATCTTCTGTTCTCGTACGATCTCGAAGGCACGGTTTTGTATTCCAGAGTTTTTCAGCTGCTTTACGACTGCACTCGGACCATGTTCTCTGGTTTCTATAGTAGAGCGTTTTTCTCATTATGTGCACGCTTTTTGCACACTTTGAATTGGTAGACGAGTCATCGAGTTCTATTCCTAAACTATATAACAGATAAATTAATGATATTAAAATTATGCTTTATTTTGCAATAGTTTATTTAAAATATTTTTATATAATATATAACTTATGTTAGCAGAATTTTTATACTGTAACATTAAATAATCAAATTAAAAAAAAATTTTTTTTTTGTTTTTTTATTTATATTGTATAATGAAATAATTTTATATAAAATAAAAAGTATAAAATAAAACATACGTCATGGGCAGTTGTCGAAGCTCGCAATTTGTCCGTATTAATTCCGTTAATAATTTTATTTATATTATTCATATTGTTGTATTTTTATATAATATATTTTTCTTATACTTGTTTGTTAAGTAAAACAAGTATATATATATATATATACTTACGCTTTGCCGATCTGATGAACGGGAAGTGTCGTTGCAAAAGCAGATGACGCCGTAAATATAGCACCGAATTCTACTATGGCACAAGAGTATTCCCCCAATCCACACATTCCATTGAAGAAAGATTCTCCCAACCAGCCATAGTTCCGCTGTGTTTCATTTTGTGGGTTTGGCAAGATAAAAAGATCTGTTCCGGTTAAGAGAAGAACAAAATCCCAATGACTCGGATTATTGTCATCTGAAGGATTCAAAGTTTTCGCGTATTCGCAAAACGACTTGCGCATTTTTACAACGTCGCCGTAAAAGACAGGCAAATTTGACGGATGTTTGTCCATAATATTCAATTTTACCAACGAAATATCGATAGAAACACCCAAACTCGGATGATGGAACATAGCTTGCATTTGATTCACGTATGCTAATATCATATTGTGTAATCTGTCTTTGTTATAGTCCAAAATAGGCATGTGAATATTATATGCTGCATCGTCAACGAAAACGGCCAATTCTATGGTTAGTTTTTGTTCAGTATTTCGTACGTCACGTCGCTTTGGCTTGAAATTGTCAAAAAAAGAATAAAAATGGGAAGTATCAAAACTTTGCAGTAATTTTTTGATAAGGTGAGGCTTGCCGAATGAAAGATTCATTTGTTCCTCAAAGCAAATGTTATCGACTAAAGACAATGACGCAAGATCGTTCGACAAAGGTTTAATATTCAAGTTGTCGTTTTTTAGAAAAACGAGTCCTTCCTATATTAAAAAAAAAAATTTTTTTATTTCATGCTTATATATAAATAAAAATCATGAAAGTTGAGTGCAGAAATAAAAATTTTAAGACAATTCATTTTTTATGTAATACTACCAACCAAACCATGTTCGTCACAAAAGTTGATGATCGCCGAACTGACATTATCCTTGTGAATATATAAACAAGGATCCAATGCTTTCAACTGCGACAAATTTTCTGTAGCGCCTTTTACATAATATTGCCATATTTCATACTCAGGCGATATAATTCGATCGTTTCTATATAGGTTTAGTTGAATCAGTTGTTCGAACACTTTTAGAGTTAATGGTATCTGTAAATTTGATGACAATTAAAAAAAGACTTTAAAATTCTTGGATAATGTTTTGGACGTTGAGCAATGAATAAAGCAGTACAGTAAAACGCACGTACCTTCTTTGCGCTTGTCGGGTACCATGCTGGCAGCAATATTGTTTCGGTATCTTGGATAATATACGCGTACGATTTATTTAATAAGATTATTAACATCAATTTCAGTATAAAGAACATGTTGCTTTATCAGTTTTTCAATTTTAAATTTTATATTAAATAATTTATATACACACGTTAGGATACTCTCACGTTCGTTGTGTCTTACACGATCGCGTATAACGCCCGTACTGGCATCTGTATTTAGAAATATACTTTGTGTTGCTTGACATGTATGTTATATCTTTTCTACATAAATATGTATAAATATTTTTGTTTTTTAAACCTGAATTTAAAAGATAGCACTCACGATAATGATGTACAAAATACAATTTATTCGTAATATGTATAATATGTATAACATGTTACTTGGGAATGCGCATGAGTTTAATTGATGACAAGTTGATTTGAAAAAATTGATAATCAATATTGATTTAAAAATTCGTTGTTTATTACATATCCGTTATATCTTGAAAATTACTTAAAAATTTACAAGTGTGTCAATTCAAAGCAAACAACATAAAAGAAAACAATAAATTAAAAATAAAATTATACATGTGACAACTATTGTAGATTAATATTTTTTTTATATGCATTTTGTTTAATAAAATGTTTTACTTTTATAAAATTTTATGATAAATTAACAGTACATTTAAACTTAATCATTCAAACGTCTTGCAGATATATCATGTTACATGCTATTAAATTCAATAAATGATTAATTATTTTAGCTCAATAATGTGAAAATGATTCATTAATGTGATTCGTATTTGAATAAAAATATATATAAGAATAAAAGAAACTTTATTTAGAGTAAATTTCAATAATTCTTTCTAAAATGATATAATCCACAAATATAAATAATCAGTTTTCTTACAAGAGAAGAACCTACTCACTGGTGCTCTTTCGAATAATCGGCTGCATTGGTTATAGCTGTCACGGCTAGCGCAATACAGAGCAGGTATCGATAAAAAAAACAACTCATTATCAGAAGCTGAATTAATTCCAAGTACTGATTTAACTCATTATATTCTCTTTTCATAAGCATGTGAATTAATAACTAATAATTTTTTTTTTTTTTTTATTAACAGTAATCGATAAAATTTGTTTTTGATATTGTTTGTTCTACGTAATTATCATAAATTTGCAAACTAAAAATAGACTTACTGCGTAAAATAAAACGTAATAATTATAATTCAACGGAACTTAGATTAAGTACTAAATAAATTTCAAACAATTGTTGCGAGTCTTTCCGATCGCAACCGTAAGTTCGAGATCCGCTTGGGGAACAGGACGCACTGCTTAGAGGTGTGGAATAACTGGACGCAAACCTTGCCTCGAACAATTTATTTAATCACTCACAAACCGCCAGGACGGTGTTAGATTCTCGTGAGCCGTGTACGGACACGGGGAAACGAGTCGGTGTATTCGCGTATCGTAAACTGAATCCGTCGCTGCTTGCGCGCGACTGTATTTATACGAATCGGCAATCAAGAGTTTTGTAATATTATTGATATGTTATTGTTGATATTTCTCGGATTGCTGATTCGTGTCACCTTGAATCCGAGGTTGTTTCTCTGCAGCCTCATCGTTATTCTTTATTTGCTAAATAATTCTTTCTTAGTATTTTTATTTTGGTATTTAACTTAATTAACCTTATAGCGACACGTTGTGTTACGACACACAACATCCCTCCCTCGCGAATGGAAGGAAACGTAGGTACGGAGTTTCCGTGCGGAGTAGGCAGTGCGAGTGTATAGTTTTACAGTTAATTCTTGTCCTATCCGTCTACCTATTATTCCGCAGTAGTCTTTCTTTTTCGTAATAATAGTATTGCTCCTATGCCTAGTGCTAATACAATAATCACGATGGCAAGCGAACTTGTGACCACAGGATACAAAGTCAAGGGTTGAATAATTTTTCCCTCTGTTAACTCGTCGTCTACTTCTCTTATTTTTTCTCCCAAATCTATTAATTCCTTTGAATTTTGTATCATCTTTTTCAATTTTAACGGTTCGATTTCCATGCTCGTTTCACCATTAGTTATACCTTCTATTTTTCCCGTTAGATTAAAACGTGGTATATATGCCTGAATGTTCGGGCCTTCTATTATTGTTCCTGTGTTCAGGGTCATGTCCTTCGCAATTATTTTACAATTATTTAATAGAGTTATTCTACCTGTTCGTGTGATTTTGGTCTGTATTTCCTTATGGTTTAAACAAGTAATCATTACGTCTTGTTCGCTGTTAGTCGAATATAACCAAGAATTTTCCTTCGTTAATGCTATCCAAATAGTTTGGTTAAAACTTACATACTTATTTCCGCAAATTGCCCTTTTTGTCAAACCTACATACAATTGTACTTCACATAACGCTCGAGGGTTAATATTATATATCGGACTATCCGATTTACATATATATTTCTTGTCTATCTCAATACATTTTTCTAAGTTTTCTTCGCTTATCGCTAGATATACGGATAATTCTAAATTTACAGCAAACAATTGTTGGTTAATCTCGGTAAATACAAATATCCCGCGTTGGTCAGGGACAGGTAAAGGTATGGCTTTTATTAACCTGTATTTCGGATATGTTACAAGTGGCAATTTCAACGTTACAAATATAGTCTCATTCTTAACATACGAGTTTACACTTGTAATTTTTCAAACGTTGACCAATAATTTTAAACGGTTCGCATGCACCGTCATCTCTTTCCTCCCCTTTTTAATAGTGTAGTTTACTTCCGAATTCCTTTTTACTATTACGTATGGCCCGCACCATAACGTTTCTAATTTCTTTGAACGTCCTCGTCGTAACGTTTCATCATATAATAACACTTTATCACCTTCCTGGAAGATGACTTGATTAGCCCGTTTATCGTAATACCGTTTAGCTTTTACCTTTTTTTTATGCTTTTCCGGCAACCGGTACGGTCGCGTGTTGGCGGGCGCCGTCCCCGGCCGCGTCGCGATCTCGTGTTTCATCGCCACGGTATGAGTCAGCGGTTCTCCTTCTATATGAAAGATATCGCTGTACTCTTCACAAATCTTTGCTATTGCCTTTTGCTCTTCCTTATTCAAATGTTCAATTCTTAATGCGTCTCTTATTTTCTCCAAACGAGACATTGGCTTATCTGTTGCCTTGTTAACTTCAGTATTAAATACTTGAATTCCTGTTTCCGCTTCTAACAATGTTAACTCTACGTGTGGAGTCTGTATGTCTACCGGCTTATCGGTAGTGTTGATTACGCTTATGACACAACCGTAATCTTGAGCTGTCGTCACGCAACCTCCTATGATAATTCCCGGCTGCATTTCCAATGCATGCACTATTCCTGTCATATTTTTATTTGTAGTGGCGGATATTATGGTCTCACTTCGTGACTTCAATGTGACTGGTCGGCACGGAAATAGTTTAAATTTGGTGTCCCCTATCGTTAGTCGCTTAGTGGGGTAATCCCATTTCATCACGTGCTTTTTAAGGAAATCAACTCCTAATATTCCTTCATGACTTATCGGAAAATTGTCCTTCACCACATGCATTTTATGCGTAATAACTTGCCCTTTCAATAGTACGTGAGCCATTATCGTGCCCAACGTTTCGGCCTTCTGTCCAGTAGCGCCTATTATCATTATCTTTTTCATCGTAAACTAAAGTTTCTTCTTTTAAGGTTTTCAATTTAATTAAAGTTATTGCAGCTCCTGTATCTACGAGCATAACTGCCCGTGCTGCTCGAATTTCTTGCATAGGTACTGCTATTAAATCTAGATTAAGTTCGGCCTGTGCATATTCGCCTACTGATGCTATCTGCAATGTTTTTGCGGGTCGTGCTGTTTTATGTTTGCCTCTTCTCCTTCGCCTTGCTTGGCGTTTTTCCTCGTTCGGGCGTCGTCCTTGTCTGGCCTTCCATGCAATGACCAACAGGTATCTTGATTGTGCCCCGATCTTTTGCAATGTTTACAAAACATGTTCATCATGTTGACCTTCTGGCCGCTAGCTCTCGGTAATTGATACCGGTTATTATAATTATGAAAGCGTCCTATTCTGCAATCACGCCCTTCATGACCCAATTTGCCGCATTTGATACATTTTAGTATCTTTTCTCTTGCGCCGTTACTATTACTGAACTTGTTATAATTCCTATTTTCGGAATACGGACTTTGCAATTTTTCTTCAGCCGTCGCTATCGCAATCGCCTCTTGTAGCGTTTTGTAATTGCGTGCGCGTACTATAGTTTTAATGCTTTCGTTTAGTCCGATTTGGTAGTTTTGTAACGCTAAGTTTTGTATAGTGGTCTTTATTGTATTTTTCTCCATGACCGTGAGACTTTTTCCATCGATCATCGCTTCGTAAAGTTTCATCGCGAGCTGATCTGCTCGTGTACCAAAAGCTTGGGCGTTCTCTCCATGCTTCTGCTTTAGCGTGTTAAATTCAATTTGCAAGTGCGTTATACTCTTATGAGTTGTATATCCTGCTTCTATTTCTCGTTTTAATTGCACGAACGTTTGAATATCTCTTGTTTGAAAATCGAGCAAGACCTTTCCCTTTAACTTAGTACACAGTATCGCCTTCAGCAACTGTAATTCTTCCAAAGGGTCTATACTTTCCACCGCGTAAGTACTCGCGCTGAGGAACTCTTGTATTTTAGCCTGTGACGTTCCGTCAATCTCTGGGATTAAGCTTCGCGCTTCTTTTAGTTGCATATACCCATGCATGGCTATCGGCCTATTTCGTATATCCGACATACCCCGTCCGTATGCTACATCCGCGTTATCAGTTACGCGCCTAGTAGTCAGTGGTACATTCAATTCTCGTTGGCCCGGTATAGCTAAGAGCCGTTGCTGCCACTCTTGCTGTTGCCCCCGTACGTTTTCTATTTGTTCGTGGAATTGCTCTTGCATTTCGGTCAACTGTTGTCTTATTTCGCGCACAAAGTCCATCATTGTATCTGTTAGCTCTGAGTTTCGCGTCGCGTCTTCAGTTTTTGCCCCTGCGTTTTGCGTCATTTCCTTTCTTAGTAACTCAATATCCCGGTCGATTTCTGACTCGGTAGTCTTCGGTAATTCTTGATCATTATTCATTTTTACTTCAGTGCGGAACTCGTCTGGGTCGAAAACGCAACTATCATAAGATGTGAGTGCGAACTCACTGTATTCCGATACGTGACTCGGAGTTCTACTTGGCAGATGCCTACTTTGTCGCGGTTTTTTGTCCTCGCGAGTAGCTTTCAAAGCACTGTCGAGCCCTAGCAATGTACGATTGCGCTCAACGGTTGGTTTTTTCGAAATGGTATCTGTGTTCGCGTCTCCGGTACTTTGCTTCTTATTTCCAGTTTTCTTTCCTGTCGTCTTACTACGTTGTTCGCTTATGCTCAACGCTCGTTGATCTTGGTTGCGGATCAACCGAGATTGGTTTGGTTGGGATTCTACGATTACGCGCTTTTCCTCTCCGTTCGCGGAGCTATCTAACGCCTCACTATGATTTCGGTTGTCGTTCAACCAAAATTGGAAGCCTAATTTCTCTCGTTTCCCGGACATTCGCTTTTCCTAATATTATTTCTTATTATTGACTTACATTAGGCCGCTCGCTCGCATAATGCACGCTGCTGGTTAGCTGATCCGTTGTTGAGGTAGGTCGCGATCCTTGCCTGTCGTCGTCCTCTCGGGTTACGCTGACTCAGCTTGGTCGTTGCTCCGCCAGGCACCTTTCCGCCGCTTTGTTGCCCGGACTGTCGTCGCCTTGTGAATCCAGGCGATTTTCCACACTGCCTTCTCACCTCACTTTTGTAGCTCCAGGTGATAGATTCTCTCAGTGGTCCCTCTGTTACCACTGCCGATATCCGATCATCGGGTGTCCAGAATGAACTTCGGTAATTGCGGATCCCACCGCTGCCACCAAATTTATGTTGCGTTGTCTTTCCGATCGCAACCGTAAGTTCGAGATCCGCTTGGGGAACGGGACGTACTGCTTAGAGGTGTGGAATAACTGGACGCAAACCTTGCCTCGAACAATTTATTTAATCACTCACAAACCGCCAGGACGGTGTTAGATTCTCGTGAGCCGTGTACGGACACGGGGAAACGAGTCGGTGTATTCGCGTATCGTAAACTGAATCCGTCGCTGCTTGCGCGCGACTGTATTTATACGAATCGGCAATCAAGAGTTTTGTAATATTATTGATATGTTATTGTTGATATTTCTCGGATTGCTGATTCGTGTCACCTTGAATCCGAGGTTGTTTCTCTGCAGCCTCATCGTTATTCTTTATTTGCTAAATAATTCTTTCTTAGTATTTTTATTTTGGTATTTAACTTAATTAACCTTATAGCGACACGTTGTGTTACGACACACAACACAATTTTGAACTGATTTCTGAGCGTTTTGCAATTATATTTTCTCTTGCATCCTTGTCTACAGATATTTACTACTATTCGACAATTATTCTTCGAATGAATAATTTTCCGGCTGTTAATAATGCTGGCGGTTATAATAATCCTGGCCATTTTTGTTGTGACATCACGTTTCATCTGGAAAGTATGAGTTGAAAGTATAGTCGAGTATTCCCTGACATGATGCGTTGTGAACAGATGATTTTTTTTGTTGGCAGTTTATAGTACAGGCTATCCAAGGTTTCTCGACATCATGCCTGAACTGATTTCCTGGCTCCTTTTCAGTTTGACTGTCAATTTTCTATACTTTTCCCAATCGCTGCATTTTATGATAGTAATCTCGGCGATTGTCGTGCGATTTTTAGTGCAAAGCTTCGAGTTAAATTGTCGGTAATAATTCTATTAATAATTATAATGTAACAATTTTTAATGTACAATTAAATTTTACAATTAAAATCTTTTTGGTCATCACAATTTGACCATCGTCAATAGATTACAATATTAACCTATGTAGAATTCATTTGTTGTTCTTTACTTAGTTTTTACATATCATCTTAAAATTTTCTACATTTTGTACATTGCACAAAATTCTGATAATATAGTCTAAAATATTTTTATAAAGTCAAGTAATTGATAAAATGCACGCAATTTCCATCAGATGTGCAATACATATAAATTGGTCGTACTATAAAAATAATAAGAATAAGCAAATAAGTAATCAATAGAATGTTGAATTGAAATTACACATATATTTGAATCTGTCGGACAAGACGTGTAAAAGTAAAAGCAAGTTTTATAGTTGCCCATGTTTATTGTTAAAAAGATAAGAAGGTAACTGCAAATAACAATATCTCAAAAAATTTTATAGTACAAAATCTTATAGAACAATTTATAGTACAAGAGAAGTAAAAGAATAGTGATAGAACGGAGTATAAAAAGAGGGAACCAATGTGAGAAAAATTAAAAAATCGGTAGTAAAATGAAGATCGAAAGGTTGAAATTTGACAAGAGTTTCGTGTAACTCTATTTATTAAGAGGGGAGTCCACTTTGACTACACGAAAATGAGAAGCACCTTTGGCAATTTTTTTTAATAAACAGACTTGAATAAAAATTTTTCTTTTCTTTTATGTTAAAAATATATTTTTAACGTTAAAAAATAAGAAAAATATATAGTCATTATTTATATCTAACATAGCCGCTTCGAATATCAATGCTTTTTAAATGTTTTTCAAACTAATGTGCAACACATTTCTGTCAATTTTAAGCTAATTAACTTGAAATTTTAACTCAACATTTTTCGTAGTATGCTCTATCGTTGTATTTACGATTTTTGTATTACAACAATTTTTCCTGACAAGAGAAATAATAAATCTTTTTTTTTCTCCAAAAATTAGAATCTTTATTTCAACATGCAAATTTTTTAATTTTTTTAATTTGAAAATGCGATACGTACGATGATAGCTATTTTTTCCAAAAAATGTTTTTTGTTTTTTTTTTTTAGATAAATAGTGTTTGCATATGTTAATGTTATGTTTAAAGAAATATGGATTTTTAAGGGGCGACCATATTAAGTATAAATACTTACTATTTATTCTTTTTGTTTTACATTTTGTAACATTAAACTATATTTCTTTAACATATAATACAAAAATTTAAATACTAAGTCTATTTGTACAAAAAAATTACCAAAGATTACTTTTTATTTTTGCATGGTCGAAGTGGGTTCCTTCTTTAAGCCCATAATTCTGCTACTTTGTATAAACTATTTTTGAGATTAGCTTTTGTTATAAGTACGCTCATTATTCAAAATTTACACATTTTCCCAATCAAAGTAATAATTATCTGAATTACGGTTAGATATAACAGAAGGAAAGCACTTTTTCTAATATCTGCCTGTTTTAGTAATATTATTTTAATAAGTTGTCTTTTTATTTATTCGAAACAGAAAATATCACAAACTTGGCAAGTCATTTTATAAACTATACCGCGATGCGATAGTTTGTCAAGTTTGTTTCGATGAGTTTTCATGATAAACTCAAAGTGTTAGTTCCGGGGTAAACAACTATATATTTGTGCCTCCTAACAAACAGTACAAACCATTCCGATGGTCCTTACGCATCAGACGGTGAAATACGTTATCTTTATCAGATAAACAACTTTTTAAAAGATCGGTATCAAGTTTTTTTTTTTATAAAAAGAATATTTGCTAGTTTCTTTTAAAGTGTTCATACGAATAAAAAAAGTGATGATTACTAAAGTGATGATTATTAAATAATTACTTAAAGAATATTAATAATCTCGATCATATATTTCTGACGGAATCAAGGATGTGATAACAAGAAAATTTAATCAACTAACCTTAAAATAGTGCTTTGTTGAGAGTGCAAATTTAAGTATCATCCAAAAAGAAGTGAGTTAGAAAGCAAATAAAAAATTTTATCTCCTTCTTTAACAATCATGACATTCAAAAAATTAAATTGGTTATTCTCATCTATTTCAGTTATAAACTTTATTCTCTTATGGGAAAAGTTAAAAATTCTTTGAACGTCTTAAGAGAAGTCAGAAAGGACGGCAAGGATGTTATCATTGACGTATCTAAAACACACTGATAGACTAAATGGCTTTCTCTTCTACACATATCTTCAAAAGTAATATCAGCAATGACTGGGAAAAGTAGAGAACTCTTAGAATTATTTGTAAGTAGTATAGAATTTATATGAAGTCAATTACTTGACTTTATGAAAATATTATTGACTTTACTATTAGAATTTTGTGCGTTAAATTATTGTAATTTACTAAAAATGTGTAAAATTACGTGACTCGATATCCCTTCACGTCATGTTCATTAATTTTATTCATATAATTTAGATTATTGTGATTTTATAAAATATATTACTTATATTCTTGATTTTTAGGTAAAATAAGTATACATATATGTATATATCTACACATGGCCGATCTCATAAGCAGCTGTATTAGACGCTGCAAAACCCGAAGTTATTTTTGCAAATCCAGCACTAAATTCTGCTACGGCGCACAAATGAGTCTTGTTACACACATTATCGAACGAAGCTACTTCCTCCGTAGAAAAATACATTTGTTGAAATTGCTCTAAATAAATATCTATTCCGGTTACGTAAAGAGCAATGTCCCAGTGAAGTGGATCAATGCCATCCGGAATATTTCGAGTATTCATGTAATTGCTGAACGAAGTAAGTAGTTTTGTATAGTCACCGTCGAAAACTGGCAAATTTGACGGTTGCATATACATAATCTCCAGTTTTACCAACGAAATATCGATAGGAATACCCAAACTCGGATGATGGAACACAGTTTGGATTTGATTCACATATGCTAATATCACATTGCGCAACTGTTCCTTATCGTTATCCACGACACATAAAAATATTGTATGCTGCTTTGTTAAAAAAAACGAACAATTCTATGGTTACTTTTTGTTCAGTATTTCGTACGTAACGTCGCTTTGACTTGAAATTGTCAAAAAAATGATAAAAATTTGAAGTAGCAAAATTTTGCGGTGAGTTTTTAATGAGGTTTGCTGAATGAAAGATTCATTTGTTCTACAACGCAAATGTCGACTTCAAAACAAAGACGCAAGATCGTTCCGCAAAGTTTTAAACTCCAAATTGTCGTTTTTTAGAAAAACGAGTCCTTTATATATTAAAAAAAATTTATTTGTTTCATGCTTATATATAAAAGAAAGAGCCATGAAAGTTGAATGCAGAAATGAAAATTTCAAAACAATTCGTTTTTTACGTAATACTACCGACCAATCCATGTTCGTCACAAAAGTTGATAATCGCCGAACTGACATGATTCTTGTGAATATATAAACAAGGATCCGATGCTTTCAACTGCGGTAACTTTTCTGAAGCGCCTTTTACATAATATTGCCATATTTTATTCTCGGACGACACAATCCGATCGTTTCTATGCAGGTTTAGTTGAATCAGTTGTCCGAAAACTTTCAGAGTTAATGGTATCTGCAAATTGTACGACGATTAAAAAATGACTTGATTATTCTCACATAATGTTTTAGACGTTGAGCATTGAATAAAGAAGTACAGTAAAACGCACGTACCTCCTTTGCATCTGTCGGATAACATGCCGGCAACAATATTGTTTCGATATCTTGCATAATGTACGCGTACGTTTTATTTAGTAAGATTATTAATACCAATTTCAGTATAAAAAACATGTTGCTTTATCAGTTTTTCAATTTTAGATTTTATATTAAATGATTTATATATACATGTTAGAATACTCTTATGTTCGTTGTGTCTTACATGATCGCGTATAACGCACGTACTGACAGATGTATTTAGGAATTTAGGCTTCGTGTAGTTTGACATATTGTACATTATCTCTTTCCTACACGTATATGTATAAATAATTTGTGTTTCTGAAACTAGAATTTGAAAAGAGTGGTGGCCCTGACGATAATGAGATAGGTTTAGAAAATGCATTTTATTGCTAATATGTATAATATGTACAATACGTGTTATTTTGAAACACGCGTGAGTTTAATTAATAACAATTTAATTTTAAGAAGTCAATAATTAAGATTCATATAAAAATTTGTTGTTCAGTACATATCCATTATGTCTCAAAAATTACATAAAAATTCAAGTGAGTCAATTGAAATAAAACAAAAGAAAGAAAACAAGTAATCAAAAATAAAATTACACATATTGCGAGAGATATTGTAGATCACCATTTTCTCACATGCTTTTTGTGTAATAAATAAGATTTTTTTAAATAAAATATTAAGACAGTGAAAAAATATGTTTTGGACTTAATTATTTCTAACATCATTCAAACGGCATGTAAATATTGATTATGTAATGCGCACATAAACTTAATAAATGATTAATTATTTGAATTAAAAAATGTAAAAGTAATACATTTATGTGTATACTTATTTAAATATTTGATTTTAGTATATGCAAAAATAATACATGCAAAAATAGAAGAAACAATATTTTGATAAATTTTAATAATTTGTCATAAAATTTAACAATCAACAAATTAAAATAATCTGTTCATCAATCAATTTAATAATCTTTTCACAAGAAAAAAAACTCATTAATCGAGTAGCGCTACTTCTAATGCTTAGCTGCTTAAATTTTTGCTGTTACGGTATGCGTGATAAAGAATGGAATTGGGCATCGATCACAAAAATTAAGGCATTGTTAAATGCTCAATTATATCTCCAATCATTGATAGAACCTATTATATTCTCTTTGCACAATTAAAAACTATTAATTTTTTTCTTTCTGCTCTTGTTAACTGTAAATAACGAAATTTGTTTTTGATATCGTAAATTTTGTGTAATATTTTATAAATTCGAATTTATATAATTAACAAACAGATTTGCTACACAAAATAAAATTAACAACTGTGATTCAACGGACATTAGATTAGACACTAAATAAATTGCAAACAATTTTGAATTAATTTCCGAGCATTTTGCGGTTTTATCATCTCTTGCATTCTTATTGACACATAAGGTTTACATTTTTACAATTATTTTCTTCGTATGAATAGTTTTCCGGCAGACAGTAATGCTGGCGGCAGTAGTAATTCCGGCCATTTTCGTTGTGGCACCACATTCCATCTGGAAAATATGGGTTGATACCGTGGTCGAGCATTGTCAGATATGAATTTTCGTTGAAAAAAGATAAATTTTTTTGTTGGCAGAATACAATACAGGCCATCCACGGTTTCTTGATATCATGATAAACTTGTTTTCCCGGTCCTTTTTGCAAGTTAATTGTAACTCCTTCAAGCTCTGCAGCATCGATAAAATTATCGCATTTCTGCCTAGTAAACTCCTCAATGATTGTCAAGCGATATTGAGGGCAAAGCTTCTTGTCATCGCACAAGGCTACGTCGTAATATGGCCCTCCACAACTTGCCGTTCTGTGAGTTCCATGTTTGCAAGAACGTCGTTTGACAATTACGCCTTTAGATTTCGTCAAGCAACTCATTTGACAGGGGCCTTCTTTCCATTCACTCCAGTTATCTTCGTAACAATACTTGAAAATGTATGGCGGTTCGAGAACAGGCACGCATTCTCCTCCACGACATTCTTTTCCCAGTGCGCAATGAGTTCCTGAAAAAAAATAAATTAAAAATTCAAAGTACATTCTTAAATTTCTTCAAAAAAAAGATGTACCGTCTAGTGCGGATCCCGCGAAGAAATACGTATTATGGTAAGGCGATTCGCATTGTAAAGTTTGACATATATCATGCAACGTGACTACGTTTGCATCTTTGTCAAGCAAATATAATTCGCATTGTGCTTTGGCGGTCCATTCTCTCCCGGGTAAATCGTGATAACGCGAATGATCCAATTCATTTGCGTCATCAAGAACTTTCATTCTCGAACGATCTCGAAGGCACAATTTTGTGTTCCAGAGTTCTTTTGCTGTTTTACGACTACACTCGGACCATGTTCCCTGGTTTCTATAGTAGAGCGCATTTCTCATTATGTGCGTGCTTTTTGCACACATTGGATTGGTAAACGAGTCATCGAGTTCTATTCCTAAACTATATAACAGATAAATTAATGATATTGAAATTATGCTTTATTTTGCAATGGTTCATTTAAAATATTTTTATATAGTATATAATTTATGTTAGCAGAATTTTTATATTGTAACATTAAATAATCAAATGTCTTAAAAATTTTTCTTTTGTTTTTACGTTTATATTGTATAATGAAATAATTATTCATAAAATAAAATAAAATGAAATAAATACGTCATGGAGGGTTATCGAAGCTCGCAATTTATCCGTATTAATTCCGCTAATAATTTTATTCATATTATTCATATTATTGTATTTTAATAAAATATATTTTTTATACTTGTTTGTTAGGTAAAACTATATATATATAAAAAAAATATATATATATACTTACACATTACCGATCTCATGAACAGGAAGTGTCGTTGCAAAAGCAGATGGTGTCTTAAATGTAGCACCAAATTCTACTATGGCACAAGAGTATTTCCCCAATCCACATATTCCATTGAAGAAAGAATTTCCCAAGCTGTCAAAATTCCGTTGTGTTTCATCTTGCGGGTTTGGCAAGATAAAAAGATTTATTCCGGTTAAGAGAAGAACAAGGTCCCAATGACCCGGATTATCGTCGCCTGAAGGGTTGAAAGTTTCCGCGTATTCGCAAAACGACGTGTACATTTTTGCAGTGTCGCCGTAAAAGACAGGCAATTCTGACGGATGTTGGTCCATAATTTTCAATTTTACCAACGAAATATCAATAGAAACACCCAAACTCGGATGATGGAACATAGCTTGGATTTGATTCACGTATGCTAATATCATATTGTGTAATCTGTCTTTATTATAGTCCAAAATAGGCATGTGAATTTTGTATGCTGCATCGTCAACGAAAACGGCCAATTCTATGGTTAGTTTTTGTTCAGTATTTCGTACGTCACGTCGCTTTGGCTTGAAATTGTCAAAAAAAGAATAAAAATAGGAAGTATCAAAACTTTGCAGTGACTTTTTGATAAGGTGAGATTTGCCGAATGAAAGATTCATTTGTTCCTCAAAGCAAATGTTATCGACTAAAGACAAAGACGCAAAATTGTTCCGCAAAGGTCTAATCTTCAAGTTGTCGTTTTTCAGAAAAACGAGTCCTTCCTACATTAAAAAACAATATTTATTTGTTTTACACTTATATATATATATATATATAAAAGTCATAAAGGTTAAATGCAGAAATAAAAATTTCAAGACAATTCGTTTTTTTATGTAATACTACCGACCAAACCATGTTCGTCACAAAAGTTGATAATCGCCGAACTGACATTATCCTTGTGAATATATAAACAAGGATCCGATGCTTGCAACTGCGACAAATTTGCTGTAGCGCCTTTTATATGATATTTCCATATTTCATATTCGGCCGACACAATCCGATCGTTTCTATGCAGGTTTAGTTGTATCAGTTGTCCGAAAAGTTTCAGAGTTAATGGTATCTGCAAATTGACGATTAAGAAATGACTTGATTATTCTTACATAATGTTTTAGACGTTGAGCAATGAATAAAGCAGTACAGTAAAACGCACGTACCTTTTTTGCAGTTGTCGGATAACATGCTGGTAGCAATATTGTTTCAGTGTCTTGGATTATGTACGTGTATGTTTTATTTAATAAGATTATTAACACCAATTTCAGTATAAAGAACATGTTGCTTTATCAGTTTTTCAATTTTAGATTTTATATTAAATGATTTATATACACATGTCAGAATACTCTCATGATGGTTGTGTCTTACACGATCGCGTATAACGCACGTACTGGCAAATGTGTTTAGGAATTTAGGCTTCGTGTCGTTTGACATGTAATGTATTTCATCTTTTTCTTATATGTATATGTATAAATATTTTTGTTTTTGAAACCTTAATTTGAGAAGAGTCGTGGCACTCACGATAACAATGTAGATTTAAAAAATGTATTTTATCGCTAATATGTATAATATGTTATTCCGAAACGCGCGTGAGTTTAATTGATAACAATTTAATTTAAGAAAATTAAAATTGAAAGAAAATTAATGTTAATATAATACTTCGTTGTTTAAAGCATATTCGTTATGTCTTGACTTATAAAATATATTAGGAATCAATTATTTTTAACATTATGCGATATTTTATCGTCATGCAAATATCATATAATACACTCATAAATTAAACAAATGATTAAAAAGCAGAAATTTCGTTTCTGTATAAAAGCCACGCTAAATTTTAAACTTGCTTATAGAAGCTTCGTCGTTCTCGTCTCGCATCTACTTGGCGCAAGACTCTGGCGAGTCTTTTGATGTCACATTTGCCGCCAAGACTTGTCGCAAGTCGCTATCGACAAATCGCGACAAAATTTTGTATTGCGACATCACGAAAACGATAACGTCTGAGATTAGTGTCAAGCAATTGAATCATGCTTGATTCATGTAGCGCATAAATTATACGTAGTTTGATTTACATTACCATCAAGTTCCGCTAATGGCCTTGATTGACTAGCACTACTTGCCTATGATACATCGAGGTTGACTAATTTTGATTCCTCGCAATATCATGTTGCTAGTTGTAATTGGATACGCAAGTGTATAATATGTGCAGAAATAATATAGACTGAGCAATAAAATTAGTGCAATTAACGTAATTCAGTTTTACATGACATAAGAGGTTGACTATGGTATGAAGTAAATGAGTGAAGTTTAGAAGTTTAGGTAACTTTGAGAACACATATTACATTGGTCTTGTTTCTTACTCCAGCATATGAATAATCATGGGAAGATGCTGTTTTATCATATTAGTAGACAATATAATAATTAAATTGTAAATTATGATAATAGCTAATAATTTACAATTATATTTAATGCATTTAACATTTTTCTCTAAGTAAAAAATATTGTCAACAAATATTTTTTTAAGAATAAAATAATATCATTTTTTATGTAAATATAAGTGATAACTGTATTTTTATAAGAGATTACAAGCGTTTATTCATATCGATGGTATCGCTGCGCTGTCACGAGAAATAAGTGTCCACAGTGATGCGTAAAATGAGCCTTAACGGCCATGGAGCTACTTCAACGAAAGATATGTCGAATGCAGCAAATGTCAAGCGGGAAGAGTCGATGGCGTCGGTTGGAAGCCCTTACCATCGCCCGCGGATTTACGTGGCGATATAGACGTGTGCGCGCGAGCCGGATATCCGGATACTCGGATATCCGAACGATGCCGATCCGGATTGTATCGGTGCACAGTAGTCGGGGCCGGTCGTTGCGCGTATCACAGAAAGTAGACAGCCTCGGCTATCGAGTCGAGTCGCTCGTGCAAAAGGATCGAGGGGTGGATTTATCACGAAAACGCTTCGCTCGCAGTAATCATTTTTTTGCCAGCGATGAAATGCACGGTAGTGACGTGTGTGACAGATTTATTGCAAGCTCAAGAGGGGGACGCGTTGCAGTTATTGGCGCAGACTCTGTGTTCGCGTGTGCGTATAATAATGGCAAACATATTTTACAATTTATTCTGTTGTGGGATTTACGGTAATTTATTGGCGGGTTTTTTTTTTTTTTTTTGATGCGTTATTTATTATTGTTTCATCTATTACGCGTATAGGAAATGTTGGCAATATTTCAATAGCATATTAACAATGCAATTTTATATTTTAAAAATTCATGCTGCATCGCTTTAGTGAAATAGTGAATTTATGTACTTACTGTCTGCAATTTTTATTCTTCGAGTTTCATAATTTATCTCTTGTGAAATAATTTTTATTTTTTTTTTAGTCTTTCTTTGACTCCTAACACATTTCTAATTTCATATTAATTTCGATTTTTATAATTTTTATCTTCTAAGTTGTATATTTTCTATTTAAACATTAATAATTAAAAGTAACATATTATAGTGTTCGATCACAAAGATACGACTTCCGGACGATCATAAAGCTAGTTTAGCAGGCTAGAAATTGCAGCTCCATCTCTCTACATTGTTCAATCTCTTGCTGACAGAGAATGCAAAGTCGCAGACACGAGTACGATGAAGTTCGTCGACCCAATCCATAATTAACCGCGCATACGGAATTCCGGGGACAATGTGTGCGCTTGAAGGGTCGCGCGACATAATGTACCCGGACCTTTGATTCAAGGGCGAAGGAAGATCAAGGCGAGCGCACGGAGCATCGGGAAAGTCAACGCTGACATTCCTGAAACGTACACGCGCGCGCGCCGTCCCGCTCGGGCGCATTCTATGTAAATAGCAATCTAGTTTGCTCAAGGATCAGCAACTCTCAGATTTGGGAGCTTTGGCCGACGGAGGTTTCCGTCTTTGCGCCTCCGTTCTTGATCCTTCGGGCTTACCTTAGGCTTCTAGTCTCGCTTTATCGCACTCTCTCCTCCTCTTTACATCCGGCAACCCTTTCTCTTGCACATGAAACTGGCCCGCTGAGGAAAAGTGGTTCCCGGCCCTTGTCGGTCGTCAAACATCTTCATCCACTAAATTTAACACGTTTTGTTATGAATCCTTTATTTTATTCAGTTTCCACGGATCCATTTCCCATGAATACAAGTTCCAGAAATCAAAGAATGAAAATTGTAGAAGATCTAAATTGCATAATAAAAGCAAGCAATTAAAAATTTCTGAAAATAAAAATTATATTATGTAATTCATAAATTGTAAACTAAATGCAAATAATGTATTCTTGCTCATGAGATATTGTTATTTGGTATTATTTTGCAAATTTTTTAAAATATAATACACATTTATATTTATTTAATTTTGTTGCGTTTTGAATATTGAGACAATGGAATTTAATGAAATAAAAATTAAATAAGAAATGGTGTAGAACGAAATTGAGATCAATCGGCTTTGATGTTTCATCTAAGTGACTGGACTTAATCGTTTTCGCAGACGTCTCGTCGTTTTAAGTTCAAAGAAAAGTTTTAAGAAAAGATTTGCACTGTACAGGGGGTTAAGTACAGTTGAGCGGTCGGCACTCTTTGCGACGAAACACTTTCATTAGGATGGAAACTTAATTAGGATGTCTTGAGATTCGGAGAACTTTGCAATTTGTTTGCATCGAAACAATTTTATCCTGAAGTTCATTGAAACGCCATCATCGCTGGCAAAAAACGATCAGTTTTATGATTTTAATTTATTTGCGATTTATAAAATATTATTTATTAAAATATTAGAAATAAAACATGTGGCAAAAAGCAATACGTGTATCAGAAGTAAGGAAGGTAATATATAAGAAATGTTTATTGCTTTGTGCTAGTGTTTCGAATGTGATCTCATCTTGCTGTATCAAATAATCTAGAACAAAACATTAAGTGGCATGTTACGTCAGTGCGTAGCTCCAAGGGAAGAAGGATAAGTCGTGCAACGTGGTCCGCCTTGATTTCCCTGTAGGGCAGTACAGACATCAAGAAGCTTCGTCGTTCCCCGTACATCAACGGGTCGCTTCTTCTTGTCGGATCTCTTAAATTTGCGCAACATCAGCCTGTGACACGGGAGTGAGTCACGAAAACTGGCCGCGACGCACACGATGGCTGGTGGTTGTCAAAAATTCGAAAGACGTTAAAACTTTGTTACAGCAACAAACTCTTAAAGCGATGTCGTAAAGTTTTTTCCCTCTTTCTTTATATCAATAATACATATTTTGTAGTTATTATCTTTCTTGTTAGAAAAAAATATAAATAAATTGAGATAATATTCGCGAACTGATATGTTTGAAATTCAAAAATAAAAAATAAAAAAAATGCAGAATGTAGGTGAAAAGATATCGAGCCTTGAGATCTTTTATTGTCTTTTATCGTTAAATTCGTTTGCAATTGCGGTTGCAAGATAATATGAATGCTGTGATATCTTCTCTTTTGATCTCGAATGAAAGAGAGTTACCGTGCGCACCTGAAAAAGCACGACGGAAAATTGATGTATTTTGAAAGCTCGCGGCTTCAAGGAAGATAACTACTAATTTGTCTAATCCATCTTTGCACCGGCTACGTACATCTTAGGCAGTAATGGATTCGAGAAAGGTTCTGTGCTCGGACGGATGATCGATGGGCGGAAAACTTAGGAACAATAGAGGTTCAAGGCCGTAAACTTCATCTAGAGGAGCGGAGGGCTGCGTTAAAGGGCATAGAAGAATGGAGAGCAAGCTAGACAAGATTCGTGATAAATTATGGTCAATATAAATTTGCTGCGGGAAAAAAAAAACGTTCCACAATTCTTCTTTATTTAGAATCCGCTGCATAAAAAATAAACCGTATGATTATGAAAGTTTTTTTCTCGCAGCAATTTATTTATAATCCGATACACCGCGCGATCTCATTTTATGCCAGCAGTGCATTCCGCGCATCAAAGATCCCGTATAACTCGATGCTAGTTTGCGCTTTGCTTTTGGTTTCCGCATTATTACAGATCTTTCCATACAAAGTAAAGCGTTATTACTATTTTTCGCATTTTTGAATTCACACAAAATGAGAGTAAATTGTGTGTAACAAACATTGTTTAATACGCTTTTTATTCAATGTGAAATATTCAACTTTTAATGGTAAATGTTCATGAAACTCAGCGGTTATAAAATTTGATTCGTTTTTAGATTTATTTATATGTGATGTGGAGATATTTTATTGTATATTATTTAACGATACGCGTACAAATCGTCGGTTTTATCGACGTTATGTAATATAGGAACACGATATGTAATCCAGAAATGATATTGCGATTAATCGGAATGGGTTGTGCTCTGCAAGAGAGCAGTAGCGGGAAAAA